TAAATAAATAAATAAAAAAGCGTTGAGTGATATCAGCTGCATATGGCAGTGTTTCTTTTGTAAATGCGTGTGAAACTTTAGTCGGCGTAGGTGGAGTGCCTGGAAACGGTATTCAATTCTTCGGGTAAGGGCATCATGGCTTGATCGAAGAGTGTTGGAGAAAGAATTGAGCCATGTGGTGTGCCCCTGTTGATGGAAATGTCATCTTCTGCAAGCGGTCCCAGTGTTAGTTGAGCTGAGTCGTCCTTCCAGAAGCTTCTGACGCAGTTGTAAGTCCTGCTTCAGCAGTTTGTGCTTTCTAGGTCTCGGAAGATGGCGTCATGTGTGACGTTATCAAAAGTTTTAGCGAGATCAAGCTCGAGCACTACCCGTATTCGGAGTTTGCTAGGTTCGTCCAGGATTTCTTTGAGTTTTAGGTGACAGTCCTTGGTGAAGCTCCGCCGCCTGTAGCCAAGGAGGGTATTGTCAAGTGCTTTTGTGTCATGCAGGCATTTGTTGAGTCTTGTCGGGGCTACTTTTTAAAGGAGCTGTGCAACAATATTTGTACTGTGCACAAATACCGCTTAAAACGGATCCCTAACGTTAATGACCTATGAAACACGCGTTCGTTTTTCACCCCACGCAATAGAAGTCCCAGAAAAAAAATTGAATAAAAACGAGCAGCCTTCACCCCCTCAACTCGCAGCCAGAACAAGCGGCCACGTGATCTGGACCCGATTATATGCCGCCAGTGTTGATCATAGCCACGCGCTGGGGTTGGCAAAGCGCAGGACACGCGCTGAGTTCCAGACATTGTTATGGCTCGGCTGTTGTCGTCGTTGCAGCGATTGGACACGGGTCAATACCCGAATGCTTCTCGAGCTAGCAATTGTCACGAGCCCAAGTCGAGTGCCCACGCAATGCTCGGGTCCAATCTATGAACCGCATTCAAATATCGTCACTTGGGTGTACTGCGATCCCCGAGTTACGTCATCAAATTTTGCAAAGGAGAGATTGAATGAAAAGGGTCGCTTTTGTCCTTGAAATTACACCGCAACAAAGGAGTTTCTTGGCCAATGGCGTTGCGTGTGAGTATCCTTGAGTCCCAGGTGTGCCAGTAAGCTCGTGTAGAGAGAAAAACATTCCAATTGATTATCGTTGCACAGCTCCTTTAAGTTTGCCAAGGCGGGATGTTAGGAAATTGCGTCTTAGATTATCCAAGTTGAGTTGAGTTGAGTCCAATCTATCAGAGTTAGTCTCGGTTACAACGCTATCGGGAAATCAGGGATCGACAAAATACATGCAAATATATATCGAAATACAAATGCAAAATACTTCGTCAAAATTTTATTTAATTACAAATCTAATTACATTTCGAAAGAAACATTTAAGGGCACGATACAAATACAACCAAATGTATTTGGTCTCCTCCAAATACTTTTCCAAATACATTACTCAAAGTTTGCCAACTTCAGGGCACCTGCAACGGGTTTCTGGGTATCTCGTTTTAATTTTGCATCGCACGCTCGGGAGTTAGTGTGCGAGGCTCTAGTAACGTAATAGAAATATAATCAAAAAAAAATGCAATCAGCTTGGACATAATAGGGGAAAAAAGTACAGAGCTTCCCGTACGAAAATGTCAGATATGGCCCTGATATATTTTATATACGGCGAGATATGATAATATAAGCAGTCAAATATGGCTGTATTCCGCCATATATGGGAGCAAATACGGCCGTATTTCGCCATATAGGTGGGCAAATACTGCCAGATGTGCATTATGGCCACCGTTGCCGCTGCGCCATTAAAATCTTAACCTTACTTATTACTGCCAGATGTGGCCGTATAAGTGCGTAAATAAGACCATATATCACCATATATGCGTGCAAATATAGCCCCTGATAATGATATATGGGCCCGTTTCGGTCGTACAAGCAACAAGTTATATGTACTCGCTAAGACACTAGTTCATTGATCTATATTGCATGAGTGTCATGTAATCGGTTAACTATTGTCAACATCCTTAAAGTGAAGGAATTCCAGGTATTGGACCAATTAATCAATTGCGTATTTTGAGTATTGAAAGACAAACGAAATTTGGTTGTATGTTTGACTGTGACAATATGACGAAGTGCGATCGGAGCGTGAGTTAATCAAATAATGGATTTTAGTCGCAGCTCTTAGGCACCCGTTTCCGAGTTAAGCGGTGTCGGCATCGCCATCGGTGTAACCGCCCCGCTAAATTTAGCGAGAAATCGAATTGGTACGTATGTCACGTGACGTCAATTTTCCTGTGAAATCTGGCAGTGAAACTAATTTTGTTAATGTTTCCCCGCTAAATTGAGCGGGCAAACACGAACCGTTAGCTTACTCAAGATGCAAGACGCTACTTCGTCGTCCCGAATCCTTTTCCCTTCGAACGGCTGCGAAGCCGTTGCGCCCGGAGTACAATACGCAGCTCTTTCAAAAACCGTTCGCGCAGCATCGCATCCGTTCGTCTGCGAGCGTCGGCGATTCATCGTGTATTGAAAGTCGGAAGATGTGCTGTCCGTGGTGTCTTTTATGTGTAACTCGTTCGTAAAAAAATTTTAAATTTAAAAACGCGAACCTAACAGTGTACACATGATTTTAAATAAATTGGTAAAAAAATATATATAATATTTATTTATCTATTTATTTGTCGACATCATGCACAAAAATAGTCGCGTTTATTTTTTCATTTAAAATTATAATGTGGGTTATACACCGTAAAACATAGTATCTTCAAACTCGCATTAATGTCGAGAGTTGGGCTAGTTGGTATTCGTTGATCATAATGTAAAAACAGCGCAAAGAAACACGGACGAAGGAGAAGAAACACGCAGACGGGACAAGCGCTGACTCGCAACTGATACTTTATTACTTGAAAAAGAAGAAAATAAGATAAGCACACACACACCAGGAAGACCCCAAATCAGCACTCTCACTCAGACATGTACGTGTCAGCCCCTTTCCCTATCAGCACCATCACATCACTGCGTTGCCAAAACCTCTCGCGCATAAATTCAAATTCTTTTTGTGAAAGCGTTATTGAGGCCTCACTCACACACCGATCCCCCAGAGTGACAATGTGAAAGGCCTCGAGCACTTCTCTGGCCAATCTATCTTTGTTTCGTCCTAATACTGCAGGGTCAGGGAAGGACGTTTTACACCTGCATACGTTGCAGTGCAACGAGAGGTGCCTTCCAACCGTGGCACTAAGGGAGTAGTTATGCTCTCTAAGCCGATCGTTTAAACAACGTCCTGTCTGCCCGACGTAACACTTATTACACGAGAGGGGGATCTTATAAACAACCCCCTCACAGCATCTCACGAACGGTTTCGCATGTTTCTTTCTGCACTCTCGTTTTGGGTGCCCTTCCGCTCTTGCTTCAATCCTAGAGCAGACCTGTTTAAGTCTGAGGGGGTATGAAAACACCACCGGTATGTTATATCGGCTTCCGACCTTCTTTAGACTATGGGAGATGTTGTGGATATACGGGATCACCACAGGCCTTTTCTTTTCCCAGCGTAGAAAAGAAAGGCCTGTGGGGATCACGTACATCTAGCAGACGCAAACCTAAACCGCGACAACGCTTGCTCTCGTTGCTGCAGCCGACAACGGAACAGCGTTGGGGCACGTCGGAGAACTTGGAAACGCGCGACCGCCGCTGCCTCCCGCAGTCCCGAGCCAGACGCACCACGCCACCAAAAATGGCGGACTCCAGTCTGCTGCTGCTGCGAATGCGCCATGGAAACTTCGCAAAAGGGTCATTGGCCGCCGACATGTTGCACATTTTTGGCCACTAGAAACCGACCGTCTGAAGTTTTACGTCTCGGTTTTAACGGAGTACCGCGCACAGATAGCGGCTTATTGACATTTTATAACAATACTGACGAGATAAGTTATGTTTCGCTTGTTTTAAGTCCAAAATGAGCTTTTACTACAAAAACTCGGGCAGCTTCGCAATGCCTCCGCCAGATGCCGTCAGCCGTGGTGCTGTATTTTGGGCTTTTATCGGAGCTAGACACTGATGTCTGGGGCTAACAGTACTGGAAAAATAGTTTATCATGTATTTTGCAGCGATTAAAATACAAATCTCGGCTCAATTTGCGTAAAAGCCTCAGGTTTTGCTACAGTAACGTGTCTACTGGTCAAAATTGTGCAACATAACGGCGGCCAATTGGGGGTCACTTTCAGCCGAGGAGGATAGAAGGGTAGGAGAAGGCATGACGTGAGCCGCGTAGCCTCCACAAGCCATGCTCCCCTGACGCTTCGTCTCATTTTCCTCCTTACTCTCTTCACTTATCAGCCCAACAAGTGACCGCAGCTAGCCTTCGTCTAGCCTTCGATCTGATAAAGCCTACCGGACGGAGCGCGTGCAAGCCTGGAAGGAATCCTTCTACAATCAACCATCCATCTCGCACGTGACATGTCACGCGCACCAATCGCCAGAGAGATCTGCGGTCACGTTGGGCACAATATCGTTGAAACTCTTTATGACTAGGCTTCATCAATATTGCAACGTGCCCCCTCTTAGTACTTATAACCTCCTTGCTTTCAGCTGCCAGTTTATCGCTCTAAAACCCTGTACCTATTTGGTTTGCCGCGTCCAAAACAAGTGGTCCCTCGATTTCCGCCTGATGACGTCAGAAAAGTGTCATGCTGTCGCCTGCTGCAATCCTGGCGTCGGCACAACAGCGGTGGTGGATGTGGCAGACGCCTGTTCTGCTTTAGGTCGCTCTCCAGCTTGGCTGTCCATGTAAACTTCGGCAGCCACGTGTTGGGATGCTTCGACGACAACGACGCTCTCATTCTCTCCTGCTTCTGTTTTCAGAAATTCTACACCCAACCGCCAGGATCGCGACATCCGAAAACATAATATTCCGGCGTTGGTGACATCATTTGTTGCCATTTCGAGACCGCTTTAGATGCACGGGTGGAATAGAAGGCAAAACACGCTAGTCGCAGGCGTGTTCAAGGCACCGTTCCTATATGCTGATCAAGATGCCGTCGCATCGTTGGCGCCGTCATTCAAGCCTCGTTCGTTGTCCAGCTGTCGCGCCAGAATCCGCCACTGCTTGGAGTGCAGCAGGAACTCGTCGACGCACTCGTGTTGCCGGACTCGGCGCAGCTCGCGTTCCAGTGGATCGATGAAGTTCCGCTCCAGGCTCGTGCCGAGCTCGTACTGCGAAGAAGACACGAGAGAAATCGTATGCCTGTTGTCCGTGTTGCTCGGGGTTTCCACTGGAGGAACACCCAGAAGAACTCTCTTTGATATGGACGACCATAAGTGTCCTATAGTCGACGAACGCTCATAGTGTCTGAAGGTCTATGGACAAGCATATGTGTCTTACGGTGTACGGACAACCCCGTGCGTCTTACGGTCTATAAACGATTTTATGTGTCTTATGATCTGTGGACGATCACAATTGTCTTACAGTTTACGAACACATATCTTACGGTCTAAGGACCGCAAGACACGGTCCGTAGTATTTTGGACGAACATAAGAAATGTATGGTTGTCCATAATACTATCTTTTGTTTGGATTTTGATGGTTGTCAATCCGCCAATGCCCCCGGGTTCGAGGTGTTGCGCCTACCTGATAGCACGGACACACGAGCAACAAATGACCCAGACTGATGTACCTTTCACGCGGGAAAGTTAATAGAGGGTTTTATTATAGGGGGCACCAGCACTATTTGTCACCGAACTAGCTTGGGATGTCGTAATGCACGTGAGCAGAAGGTCTGCGCTTGCGCAGTGCGAGACCCCAAGCACTTTGGGGAACCTCGAGCATTGGTGCTAATCGTATTTACAGCTAACGAGGTTTCTATTACGAATGATATTCCTCTCGAAGACTGTCCACACGCAACGTTTTATCGACATTAAACGCCACGATGATGATTATGCTCATTCAATATTTTTTAGAGCGCAGCTCTTAGGGGCCCGTTTCCGGCTTGAGCGGCGTCGGCGTAACCGCGAGGTCACGTGACCCCCTTGAGGTCACGTGACCCACCCAGGTCACGTGACAGCCCTAGGTCACGTGACCCACGGAGGTCACGTGACCCCCAGAAGTCACGTGACCCACCCAGGTCACGTGATACCCCTAGGTCACGTGACCCCCAGAAGTCACGTGACCCCTGAGGTCACGTGACACCCCTGAAGTCACGTGACCCCTTTGAGGTCACGCGACCCCCCCTAAGGTCACGTGACCCACCCAGGTCACGTGACCCACCCAGGTCACGTGACACCCCTAGGTCACGTGACCCCCTGAAGTCACGTGACCCCCTAAGGTCATGTGACCCCTTCAGGTCACGGTCACGTGACCCCCTTGAGGTCACGTGGCCTCAAGGAGTCACCTGTCCCTCAGTACACTTCCATCTTCCTCCTCAAGAGCTGCGCTCTAACCGGCGTTACAGGGAATTGTAAACGGCTTTCATTTTTTACCGTATTAAAAGAAAATAAATAAAAAAAATAGTTTTCCAGTTGAAAGAGTCTTAATTTGTATTTGAACGTAAAGGGACGCAGATGTTAGATGGCAGTTGTTGCTTCTATACTCCGTTGACCCCAGAGCAATCAACTGTCTCCCTCTCATCACGCGATTCCGTTCTCTGCTGCTTGGGTATGGGACATACTTGGGTAGTAATTCAATTACAGTAATTAAATTACTGTAATTTAATTACTTTTCCTAGTAATTTGTAATTGTAATAATTACTTTTGGCTGAAAGGAATTGTAATTGTAATTTAATTACTTTCTAGCATCAGTAATTGCTAAATTTCAGGCACAATTACAATTACTTTTGCAAGATTTTGCGGCGGTGGCGCTTTTCCCCCCTGGCCACGGCGACGAGAGCACAACCGAAGCAATAAAAGAGAGAGTCTCCCAACCTGCTCAAAAAAAGGGAAAAGGGAGGCTGGGATAGAACGGAATGAAGGATTTTGTAGACTGCAAAACGATTTAATGAAGAATTTCAGAAATAATTTGATAAATGAGGGCTTCATTCGCGTCCGTTTTCGTTCCTGTCGTAGTTGAATCTGACTCTTCGTCTCGTTCGCTTCCTGTTGCTCCTGTTTCTAGGGGTCTTTCTTATTTCTCATTCCCACACGGGGGTATGGGGGTCGAAGTCGAGCTGGTTGGCTCCGATCACATCATCCGGTCGAGGCGGGGAGGTTCGAAGTTTTCCTTACGCGTCTTCGCCGCTAGCATATTCGCTTACATATTTCAGTCAAGTTTGGGGACTTTTTTGTTCATGTAATTATTCTCTTTTCTTTATGAGTTTTCACGTCTTTCTCCTCTATCTCGTATGTTGGTACCACTAACAGAGGGTCGTGCTACTCTAATATCGAGGCGAAGAAGCGCAGTTTAGCAACAACAGTTGGAAGTAAGGCAGGGTGAGTCGTGTTAATTAGACCTGCTGCTTCTTTGCTTCTTCGCCTGACATGACGATCCTAAATTTATTATATATCTCAGGAGCTTTTTTTTTCTTTTGGTGTTACCGTGCACTGAATTAACCCAGAATCCCTGGCAAGAGAGTTGCTGCTATTGTGACACTAGTTTTGTGGAAGCGACCGCAGTTCGCGTGCTACGGTTACCCACATCCGACATGTTACAAGTCCACAGACAGGGAGAGGCAGCGAATCACCGAGTTTTATGATACCAGTACTGTCGCATATTTGTTTCCTTGTATTATTTTTAAGTTTATTTTTTGTTGGTTTGACTTGGATACCATTTGCACAAGCTCTAAAGAGATTCACCTCGCACCTGTGAATTTTGTCGCCATTTATTTTTATTTTTTGAGAATATAAGAAATCAGAAGTTCATTACTCCAAACTATTAAGTTCTATAATCCATTTAACAAATTTCATAAAAGAAAAGTACAATGCGTGACATTTATACAGCGGCCATATAACTCGTTTACAGTTATATGGCCCAAGGTGGGTAACTCTCAGAAATAAGTAATTGTAAAGTAATTGCATTACTTTTAAAAAGTAATTTGTAATTGCAATGAACTACTTTCGCGTAGTAGTAATTGTAATTGTAGTTAAACTACTTTGGGGGCTAAGTAATTGTAATTGTAATTAAATTACATTTTGAAAGTAATTTACCCATGTGTGGTATGGGATCATGTGACGAAAAATGCGCGTAAGACTCGTCGAACGATCATCATTCTCCTAACGCGGTGTCAGCTTAGGGGTGAACACAGAATAATAAAGCCGTCTTCGCCAGATTCCACGCGTCGAATTCGACGTGAAATGCCATCTGCGGCATTTTCTGTGGTATCAAATCTGAATAAAAACCTGGCAGGTACTAGAGTGCCCTTTCCTTGTTATTACTGTTAGTCGTAGTTTTAGAGCGCAGCTCTTAGGCGCCCGTTTCCGACCTGAGCGGCGTCACCGTCGGCGTCGCCGTCGGCGTAACCGCGCGGTGTATTATGGGTAAATTTCCCCGCTAAATCTAGCGGAAAAATTATTCCGCTAAATCTAGCGGAACATTTCTCTGGGGGTCACGTGAACTGTGGGTCACGTGACCCCCTCAGGTCACATGACCCCCCGAGGTTCTGTGACACCCCCCAGTTCAAGTGACTCCCGAGGTCACGTGACCCCCCCAAAAAAACACGTGACCCTCAGTACCCTTCCCTCCTCCTCCTCAAGAGTTGCGCTCTAATTCGGTGTTACAGGGAGTTGTAAACGGCTTTCATTTTTCTTTAATTCTGAGATGAAACACCTTTTAATGGAAGAAAGACAAATGAATATGTAGTAACGCATGCAAATGCCGACCATGTGTTTGCACATCTTAGTTATTAAAATTTTTGTATTCCTGGGAGGGATCGATGTCCGATTCTGTTAACGGACATCTGCTCAGAGCACTTGGAGCGAACGCTCCTGGTGCAAAACCAAGAAATCCTGGGTGGAATTCTCGGAATTAGGGTGGCAATGTCCGTTTTCATCTGGATAAGCATGCAACGTACCGCCGTGCTATCTTGTATGACTACAGCGTGACGCAAGTTAGAGACCCCAGGCTGGCACTCACAGGCCACTGGCTAAATGTTTTACCTACTGTGAAGATACTCGGATCAACACCACCTAAACTAAGGCCACTTCAATACCTATTCTCCACATAGCGTAACGTCAACCGATGTGCTCGGCTTTTCCAGTCATCCCGATTAGACGAAGCCAAGCCGAGCCCCCAAGCAAGTTCTAGCCCGTTTGTCCCGGCAGTTTGATACTTTAGCCCCATGTTCCGGATAAAAAAAACAGGACGCGGGATGGCCAAAAAAACATGCTTTTCGTGCAAGGCTCGTCAAATTATGAGGCGCTGGAGAAATGCAGCCTTGTGCGTTAAGTCCTTATTTCGAACTCTTTTTGTTCGCCTTCCGCCCATTGAAAAGCATGCGGGAAGGGTCTTAGAACGCACCTGGTGTCGCTGCGCCGCAGCGTTCTTCCGCATCAAAAAGTTCGTCTGCTTTCCTTGCCGTCACCATGGCAACGAACGCCGAATGAATAGAAGCACGCATAGTACCGCCGCGTGAAGCTAGCAACAGCTGACGCCATTTTACGAACGCCGTCTGCTAGCCAAAGCCGAACGCGGCGTGTCAGATCAACCGCCTCCGCCGGTGCGCCGCTAGCAAAGACGACGAAGCTGAGACACGCCGACGGCGATCGAGCAAGCAACAACATTGCGGGACGACTGCAACGGCGGCATTTATTCGGATCAAAGGCCGGCTTCGCCGGTGCGTGGGTATTGATGTCGCTGGCCTGTAATAAGGCGGAGCCTCCGGGGCAATAACGGGGGCGCGCGTTAACCCATCCGCCGCGCTGCGCTTTACGCCGCTTCGCGGCGACAGTCTGAGGCGGCTCATTACAAAAAATGTGAACCCACATGTGTATGTGTATTGGCCCACACGTGAACGCCGCTTCGCGGCGCCCAACTATTCGCTAAAGTATCATTCGGTGAACCGCCCCCTCAGGAGGCTCCGCCTTATTACAGGCCAGCGACATCAACACCGCCGGTGCGCCGCTAGCAAAGACGACGAAGCTGAGGCACGCTGACGGCGAATGGGCGAGCAACAGCACCGCGGGACGACTGGACTGCAACTGCGGCACTTATTTTGATCACAGGCGCGAAATAAGCAAGAACAATTTTTATTTGAATCATAACACTCGATATCCAAGTTGGGGACCACATACCTTTGCTGGGTCTTTCCTGTGAACTTTTTACAGAGACACGGGGTGCCGCATTAAAAACACAGCTCCGTTTGCAAAATATGGGGGCCCTGAAAAGGACCGTTTAGACCGCTACCAGAACCTATAACTGACGTAACGAGCACTTGACGAGCGGTTGGCGCATAAGTCGTCTTTATGCATGCAGGCGGGTGACGGGCTCAGCGCAGCGGATCCCTCGAAGTCACCGGGGCCGTCAGAATCCTCGCCCTGTCTGCGTCGGGGCTTTAGATTTTGGCGGCCGCGGCGACGAACGACTGGAATCTATCAGTGTTTCCGCGCGCCTTGTCTCTCCTCCAAAACATGAACTTTGCAAGGTGACCAGTGAAATGGTGGCTCTCGCGCCGTCCAGATGGAAGAGAGTTTTTGACGTGGGCCCAGGTGCAATCCACCGTATTGGTGTGCGCACCAGTGTTCGCGTCGACAAAGTTAAGCTTATGGTTGACGGTGAGGTGCGTGAAGCGAGCGTCATCTGCAAGCTTGCGATAGCCAGCCCGACAATCAGTGATTATTCTTGTTTCGGGGCGGACCCGCTCGGCTATTAGCCCTTGCAGGGTTTTAGCGGCACGGGTCTCCACGGGAAGAAGAAAGCAGCACCCGCTGCAACGGGCCACACCGCCGAAAACCCACTGGCCAGGCCTTAAATACCCGCGATGGTACTTGTGCCGACCGAACGTACTCTCGTCTAGTTCTACAGTCACGCCGTCGCCACCAATCATGTCTGAATGCTTAAAGACGGCATTTACCACAACCTCCCGACAAAGGCTCGCCCAATCAGTTATTGTCTTACTTGCGATATCAGCCTCCCGCTGAATGACGGCGCACGGTAGGTTCTGGCATCCTGAGGATGATTTTCATGAGTTGGAGAAGCGTCAGGTGCGTGCGATCCTTCGAAAAGGGAACCGCTTCGTATCGAGACTTCGCCCCGGCACTGAACTTTGACCGACTCCCTCTTGGGCACCTCACGAATCATCCACACACCGCACCACACCCCCGCACCCCCCCCCCCCCCCCCCCCCCCCCCCCCCCCCCCCCCCCGTGTAGCCATCCGCAGATCTAGCGCGGACTTGCAGCTTGTGATCGCAGCTTCGCACTCTGGACACGCACGAAAACCCAGGAGCCAGGAGCAGGCCAACGCGCTGAAGCAAATTAATTGCTTCAAGAGGGTCTTTCATGGCGCCAAGAAGACGGCACAAGTTGAACGCCATGGCACTGCGATGCTCGCCTCTGGAAGAATAAAGCGCCGAAGGGGAACTGCGCGCTTCTTTGCATTTATTATATTTATTTCATCCGCCATTTTATACCTCGTGACACAATTCTAACAAACTCATTGGTTGATCGGTCGGACCACACCATCGCGTGACAAAAAAAAAACAAAAAAAAAAAAACGCCCAACGTATGTTTACGGACGGCATCGTCACAGAGAAGGGAGCAGTCGAACCCAACAACAAAATGAAGTAACAAAGTGAATAAAAATAAAAAAATAAGAAGGGAGCCGTTGGAGTTTCGGACGGCGTCTTCTTTGATGAGAGGAGCTGCTCTGGCCAGAGCAGCCGTGCTGCTCTGGCTGCTCGGAATATTCCTTTTTTACTCTTTTTCTTACTCTACTCGGTGCCACGACCCTTATTTGAAGCTGATTTGTTAAAATAATAACAAACAACCCGTTGGAACGGAGGAGGTAGAGAGTCTTGGCGTCAGAATTTGACGTGGTAGAAAAGAAAAGAAAATAACGAATGCACAATACATACCGTATGCCGAGACCGTTATACTCCGCACTTGGCGAGGCCTTATGACGCAGCCGACGACCGTTAGGCTATTTATTTTGTTTCTTTAGATTTTTTATCGTGACGACTACTCCACTGTGCCTCGGAGTCTCCAGCGGAGATCCGGCAGTTTTTAATTATTATTATTCTTGTCGTTTGAAGGGTACTCTTTCTATGCTGCTTCGTTCCTGACGCCATAAAAATATGGGGCGGGATTACTTTGCACCACGTATAAAAAAAAAAAAAATGCATAAAGACGACTTATGCGCCAACCGCTCGTCAAGTGCTCGTTACGTCAGTTATAGGTTCTGGTCGCGGTCTAAACGGTCCTTTTCAGGGCCCCCATATTTTGCAAACGGAGCTGTGTTTTGAATGCGGCACCCCGTGTCTCTGTAAAAAGTTCACAGGAAAGACCCAGCAAAGGTATGTGGTCCCCAACTTGGATATCGGGTGTTATGATTCAAATAAAAATTGTTCTTGCTTGTTTCGCGCCTTTGATCCGAATAAATGCCGCAGTTGCAGTCGTCCCGCGGTGCTGTTGCTCGCCCATTCGCCGTCGGCGTGCCTCAGCTTCGTCGTCTTTGCTAGCGGCGCACCGGCAAAGGCGGCCTTTGATCCGAATAAATGCCGCCGTTGCAGTCGTCCCGCGGTGTTGTTGCTTGCTCGATCGCCGTCGGCGTGTCTCAGCTTCGTCGTCTTTGCTAGCGGCGCACCGGCGGAGGCGGTTGATCTGACACACCGTTCGGCTTTGGCTAGCAGACGGCGTTCGTAAAATGGCGTCAGCTGTTGCTGGCTTCACGCGGCGGTACCGTTCGTGCTTCTATTCATTCGGCGTTCGTTGCCATGGTGACGGCGAGGAAAGCAGACGAACTTTTTGATGCGGAAGAACGCTGCGGCGCAGCAATACCAGGTGCGTTCTAAGGCACTTGCCGCATGCTTTTCAATGGGCGGAAGGCGAACAAAAAGAGTTCGAAATAAGGACTTAACGCAGAAGGCTGCATTTCTCCAGCGCCTCATAATTTGACGAGCCTTGCACGAAAAGCATGTTTTTAGACCGGAGTTTGGAGATAGTTTTTTTTACAACAACATGGGTCTAAAGTATCAATGTGCCTCGGTATGCAAACTGTCTTCTGTATGATGTATTGGCGACGTGAGCAATCGAAAACGTTGCTGTCGTCTGCTTTCCACGATTGGCCGAATGCTGACTGTGATGTCAGCAAAGGATTTCTCATTGACGAAAATAAGAGAAAAGAGACAAACTTCTATTTCGAAAATGTTGGCAGGGTTGCTTTCACAGCGCGATAATTTCGAGCTTCCACCATGCTAAATACAAACACAATCGAACTTGTTGTTCGCAACGTAATGACGTCACGAGAGGGAGCCATAGGAGTGCGCCACAAAAACAACTCGTTGCCAATGCCGAGTGTGACCCTGACTTTAATGAGCGCTCGTGCTCAGCAGGATTCTAAAAGTAGACCTAACCAGTTAAGGTTTAGTCATTTATAAAAGGCACGTAGAAATATCGACACAGATAAAACTACCTAGAACTAAAACAGTAGCGTAACTGTCAAGAAAAAGTATCGGCAGTAAGTAAATAAAAAAAAAAAAACGATTTCCAATTGAAATGGTTTCCTACTTATTCCTCAAAATGCTTTTCCGGAAAATATGGAGGAGTCAGGTTTTTTGCACTTTTTCACAACCAAATAATCATGACGACCTACAGTGTCACGATTGGATCATCCCGAGTTCGGTGAGAAATCACTTCAAACTGGGAAATAAATTCTACGAAACGCATTACGCCATAATCTCCACCACCATTGCCGGACGACTGAAAAATAGAGAATATGTCAGTCGGCTCAACACCACCTGGCGGCCGGGCCCATAGTGCGACATCATAGGAAGAGCAGATATGCCTTAAAGTCTAACAGGTGTTGGTGAGACGCCCACTTTCGCTGATTAACCTTCAGCTGCCCAAGCATATACACCACACAATTGTTTTAATTTTAAATTCCTCTTCTTTACCGCGTTTCAATTGTGCCAAAAGCAACTACGAGTCAGTTTCGCCGAACTCATTAAGGAAGTGAGTGTAGTGTCATTATAACCGGACGTCATTAAATGTGACCGCGTCCCAGCTCGCAAATAACATTCGGGCCGAATCTCATTCGGTAGGTACGACATTAATTGTAACACATAATCTTTTTATGCACTTATTTACATCACAAACTGTAACGCTCGACTGTAACACTCGACCGTCACACGTAGGTTAAATGTATGTGAGGTCCATAGGGACCAGTATGAAAACACAAAGTCAAGAATAATCCCCACTGGCGGTGAACTTGAGACCAAGTGACTTCCAACCAGATAATATACCGGTTGAGCTGAGCAGAGCAGGCGTGTGGTGAAAGCTAAAGGTTTTCTTGAAACGTCAATCATTTACACCAGCTCAATTACCGGTGACAAAGACCGGTGGACAAGCAATGTGTTGAGTAATTAACAGTTGAAGAACCGCATCGCTTATTACGTTACCACTTCATCCCTCGTGATCAGTTTTCGGAGTTATTATCGAGTAACGCCGCAAGCGATAATAATGTGCTCAGTTTCTTAGGCTGTCACCGACTATGTCATGCGCATGACGTGTGTTGTTGCGCTAGCCTCGCACAGATAAGCACCAACCCACATCTCACACACAGAGCATGTGCCCAGTCCCAGTCCATACACTTCAGCCATACGACAGCTCAACATATTGCATATCGTGTTTGTTTTGTCTGTTTCTCTGTCTGTTTGTCGGTTTGAAAACAGCATGGCCCGCGTACCTTCCGCATGACCCGGTGGATGGTAGAGAAGGCGGGTGCCCTGTCCGGGGTGATGAAGCACTTCCGGTTCCCGTGCAATAAGGCGGGCGCTTCTCCCGAGCACGACTCGTGGAACCTGCAGTTGTCCTGGCGGTAGCCCCACCTGCACGTCAACATGAGCAGCTTGTCCGGGTGGACGCTGAAGAGGATGTTTATCAAGTCATTGTCAGCCCACGGGATCCGACCAGCGTACTCTTCCATCAAGGGCGCCATGCGCGACACCCAGTCAAAGCTGCGCATGCGCGTGAGGTTCATGGGCATTACGCCGGCGTTCGCTCCTGTGACAGGAAGAAAAATCTCGGTTACTCACGGTGCCTTGCACCTGCACGCTCTGCTGCGCACAGACCACACAGAACCACACTGACCACAACATCATGTTACGTCACAGAGTCCGTGACATAATGGTGTCACGTGAGCTAACAGAGTTACGTCATGGTACCATGTAATGTCGCATGACAGCATGACGTTTAGCGGAGAAATAGTCCCGCTATATTGAGAGGAAAATTGTTCCCGCTACATTTAGCGAAGAAATTACACCGGAGCTCAGAGCACATGGAGCGAAAGCTCGCACATGCAGTACCCAGGCATCCTTGGTCCAATCCCCACCTCTGCCCGTTTCGATTTGGACGTGCATCGTTTCAGCGTGTGGTCGAGTACCACTACTGCGTGATGTATCTTCAAGACCCGAGGCTGGCAGCCGCACTGCACTGGCTAAATGTTTTATCTACAGCGTAAACAACTGTCGTCATATCTCAGAGGCAGACCGACCTTACGCTGTCCAAACACGAACCTGTAATTTGATTTTTGACCGGCTTTTCGACATTGTAGCCTCTTCGTAAGCGGCATTATTAGGGGCGAAGCTCCTTAAGGTCTAGCCTTGTCCGGCGTCCGTGCTCACATCGATTGCCATCCCATCTGTCTTCTTCAAAAAGAAAAAAAATGTTTGCGCAGTCCACAGGATTCGAACCTGTGCGGGGAGACCCTAATGGATTTCTAGTCCATCGCCTTAACCACTCGGCCACGACTGCGGAACGAGTAGGGGGCACTGAGATGTGGTAGTAACTCAAGAGCTGGGGTTTCTGTCATGGACGAAAAGCCGCTCAACGTCTATACAGGAGAGGGCGCTGCGGTCAAATGCGTATATACTCGCGTTAAACTTTGCATGCATTGGCTCAACGTTTATAGACGAGAGGGCGCTGCGGTCAAATGCTCAACTGCGTATATAACCACGATCCATACCACACATTCTCTTTCTGACATGGACCGTTGACTTAAGCGGTGGAGATGCGTTCCCACGGCTTCTAGCGGATCCAAGCTGATCCGGTAGAAGAACCACTGGCTCTGCATTTTACCGACCACAAAGCAGTAATAATGAAGTCGAAACGCAACCCGGAACTCAGCACTACCCATGAGCAATAAAAAAAATATCAGCACCATCAGCACTATCTATGAACAAAATGAGTATCATCAGCACCACTAGAGCTTCGCCCTAACCAACATCATTCACCACATGGAGATGCGGTCATTTTTTTGTTTATTTTTTTCTGAAAAGCGAAAAAAAAAAAAACGAGATTGTAGACATTTTTTTTTATGAAACAAGACTGTACACTGCGTGACATTGTTATATCGAACGAGCGATGTATGACTGGATGAATAAAACATCCTTCGAAAATGTTTGAGGCGTGTCCCTAGATAATTCAGTCATTAAGTCTGCAGCAGACGCCGCATATTTTCTATGATATAGCGGCAGTGTGATCTTGGGTTATGGGCTATCATCAACAAAACTACTACAGTGGTCGAAAGCATTGGTCTGGTATTTGAACTTAATTGGTAAAGTTTATTGCCCGCCAATACCCTTTTGGTGTAAAATGAGAAAAAGCGGCGATGTCATGATCGTGCCATCAGTGTCGCGCAGTGTTATGTACATACATACCGAAAGGTGGAGGGTAAGGGTGCTTGCCATACTGATGGTACCAGCTGGTACCCACGTCTTCAACCTCGTAAGTTAGGGCCATGAGATGTCTCTCGTTCATCATCTCAAAGACGCTCCAGAGTTCCTCGACAGGGTTCAAAAAGAGGGTGTCAGCGTCCACGTACAAGACCGCATCCTCGTTAGGTAGCATGTCCTGCAGATAACGCCGGGCTCAAATTGTCATCAAATATAACATTGCACGTGTCCTTTCTTTTGGATAGGATAGTCGTTTTTGGGTGTGGCGGTTCGAGGATCTACCCATGATGACGTCATGGGCAGGCGTTGCCGTCTAGGTGGTAATGGTTACAGTCCGCAAAAAACGGTTCTGTGCTATTGACGTTAAGCAATTGAGCCTGGAACGCGTCTTCGCCCGGAGGGTTTACCGTCCAATCGGACCAAGGCATCAAAGACAGCAACATCAAACAGCAACAAGTTATGTCGCGGGAGCTAGCGTGTGACGGAGCTGGCCTGTATTACAGAGAGTTTCCAGCTGCCTGATCGGAGTCACGTGGCTTATGAGCGGCATTTGTATGACGGGCTGCGAGGAGGGCCCGAAAGCGTTGATCGCCCTCAAACCTCTCCGCCTTTCTCTTTGCTTCGTTCTCGGCACGCGAAAACGCAGCACATGCGCAGTTGCTACCAATCTACGCAGGAGGCGTCCGCAATTAAATTGCAAACGCTCCCCATGGTCTGAGATCAACCCTTCTGTCGAATGAAGTGATCCTGGTAGGTGATCGCAGAAATGCTGGCGAAAAAGGCGAGCGGACGCAAGAATCGCTATCGTCGCGACGTCCCATATCGCGTTCGGTTGGGTTTCCGTCCACTGTCTGGCTGTAGAGTGACCTGCAGACGAACAGGCGTCTGCCACATCCAGCTCCACTGCTCTGCCACCGCCAGGATCGCCACAGGCAACAACCAAACACTTTCATGACGTCATCGGCCGAAATTCGAGGGACCTCTTCCGAGAACGCGGTAAACACGCCATTTGGAGACGCGCTACAGGCACGATAATTAAGCTTTCCTCAACGACGTGCTGCTATGGTTGATTGTTGCGAAAACAAAAGGCTGTCTCGAGTAAGAAATGAAAACGGTGCAGACGATCTGGTGTGTAATATTCATGATGTTTAGACTTTGAGACTGGGAAGGCTACTTGAAGACTTGATTCTTGAAACCTGAAGCGCCTGTAGAAATAAACTAAGATTGCTTTGCGCATTATAATTATGAGCGTGGAGATTATTATCAACCATAAATTTCACGAGAGGGTGAAAATCATTTCATGACATCATACATGAGCCGAGACACAAGTATTACGCATGTTTGTTTTGAACATGCGACAAACAGGTGTTGTCTGACCAATGTGACAGAAACAAGATACTTGGCTGAGACAGCGTCCGGAGACTGTCTTTTGTATGATATATTTGCAATGTGGCCACGGCTGTCTGGGAAAAGGTTTTCGAGACAAATAAAGGTGCTGCTACAGAGTTCGGCAATGTGAGATGGACGTTCATGACGATTCAGCTCAAAAGTCATGATAGGAACCCCAGGCAATGAACTGTCGCCTTTCGTCGGTTTTATGACGGCATGCAGAGGCAGCCGATGCGGCATTTGGCTCTTTCAGTCAGCCCTGAAGTGGGCCCGCTTATATTGCCCGTAAGTTGACGTCGCACTGAGCATCCCTTGGTGTTAGGAAAAAAGAAAGAAAAAAGAAACGGTAATGATGATTGTCATATAAAGCGCCTCGCGGTCTGGTATGCGTGTGGTGAGAAAAAGAAGACGTGTGTGCATGAGCGAGGGATAAACCCGACGGTGTTCTAGTTCCTCTAGCCTCGGCTCTTCTTTACATACCACTCAGTAACACAACATGGTGGCAGCGGTGAAATTCGGCAACCGGACAATATCGTCTCAGAGGAAGCTAGAAGCACCACGGTTGGAGGAGGCCTAACGAGAACAGCGAAACCTTCCACGTGGCCGTCTCCATGGACGGGAACAGTGACGGCTCCGGCACTTCACCCTCCCAGGCGAGCAGCGGTCCTCCTAGCTTCAACCCTTTGCTGTCGAGCTCCCGGAAAAGTTGGATTTCAGAGATCGTAACGACCGGAAAAGATGAAGCACCCGCTGGGAAAAATACCAAATCATTTCTGAACTTCATCACGGGGACGTTGCGACACAAGAAAACACATTCCTGTACGCAATGGGGAGAGAAGCGGAAGACGTCCTGACGTCATTCTATTTTTCAGAAGCAGAGCCAAATGACTACGGCGCAGTGAAGAGCAAGTTTCAACTCCACTTCATTCCGCGCGTAAACGTCATCTTTGAAACAGCGAACTTTAACATGAGGAAGCAAGAACCAGACGAGAGAGTGGAGGCTTTCATCACGGTCTTACACAGTTTAGCGTACTCCTGCGACTATGGACAACTTCGCGAGGAGCTGATCCGTGATTGCATCGTTGTAGGACTCCAAGACAGGAAGCTGAGCGAAAAGATCTAGCTCGACGCGAAGCTCACGCTTTAAATTGCGACAACGTTAGCGCGATCTTTCAAGACCATGAAACGACAGCAAGTAGGGCTTCAGAGCGATAAGACGGAGTCCAGAGAAATCGAGGAGCTCCAAAAAGATACCCCAAAGAGAACGGCAAGAACAGAGGCACGCCCTAGGTGCACATCTGTTCATCAAGAATATTATAACAGTGCGGCGTGGAAATGACGATGGTGTGGCAGTTTGTGCAAACATGAAAAAACACAATGCGCCGCAAGAGGCAAGAAATGCAACGCTTGAAAAAACGTAGGACACTTTGAGAGCGTATGCTTCTCCAAACTTGCAGCAGGGTCTCACAGGTCACAAGTGCACAAACCGAGTCTCGACGAAGTGTTTCTGGGTTTACTCGTACACACAGGTAGCGGAGATACGTGGTAAATCAAGGCGAAAGCCAACAAGCAGGAGATCACATTCAATGTGGACACTTGGGCGGACGTTACCGCCATTTCCCCAAGGAGTACAAGGCCGGAGAGATGGCGAAGCTAGAGCCAGCCGGAGAAGATTTTCGGGGGGCAGGAGACTCGCCGTTTATAACACTCGGGAAGTTCCAGGCGACGATAACTTGGAACGGAAGAATGACGAGAGCAACTTTCTACGTATCGGAAAGACTCCAACATCCCCTACCCCGTCTCCCGGCGATTCATGCTCTGCAAGTACTGCCAAGCCTGAACGAAATTAAGGCTGACAACTATCTGGAGCCATGATTGCGTAGTTACCAAGTACCCATCTCAATTTCAGCGACGGGGGAGATGATTGTACTTTACAGAATCTAACTTCACCCAGATGCTAAGCCTTTCGCCATCACGCACCCCGAAGAGTACCCATCGCACTTCTATCCAGTGTAGAGCTGGATGGGAGAAGAATGGCAAAGGATGGACGTCATCGAGAAAGTGGAACACACTACAGTCTGGTGCTCACCTTTGGTGGTGGCCAAAAAGCAAGATGGAGCTCTCCGGATCTGTGTGGACTATACGCAGTTAAACCAACAGATTGTGCGGGAACGAATCATGCCGACGGTTGAGAAAAACCTAGCCAAACTTGAAGTTGTCACTGTCTTCAGCAAGCTGGATGCGAATGCAGGATATTGGCAGGCACCACTCGCTTAAGGGTGGAGGAAGCTGACGACATTCATTACACCAGTGGGACACTTCCAGTTCAAGTGACTCTTGTTCGGGATAGCAACAGCCCCAGAATTCTCGCAGCGCAAAATACTGCGGATATTCGAGGGAATCCAGGGCCAAATGTTTCACATGGAGGACATTTTGATTTTTGGACGAGAAAAGCCTGAACAAGATCGAAATCTCAAACTGACACTCCGTCGCCTCCATGACGCAGGGGTGATCTTGTACACGAACAAGCACGAGTCCGGCAAAAGCAGCATCACGTTTCTAGACAGAAAAGGGATTGCGCCTAACCTCAAGGAAACTGAAGCCATGGTCAAGATAGAAGCTCCCGCAAACTTGGTTGAGCTACGGTCATTCCTGGCGATGGTGAACTACCTGGGGACATTTCTACCTAATATAACAGAGGAAACCAAGCCACCACCAAATATTTTGATAGGAGATGCGAGTTGGCTCTGGAGTGAAGCCCAAGAAGAAGTATTTCAAACTTGTTGGGCAAAAATCCAATCCTTATGTTCTTCTACCAAAACGCGCGCCGGACACTATCAGCCGATGCTGAATTGAACACTACACAAGGCCTACTAATGCGCAATGATAGGCTGATTATCCCACAGAGCCTCCATAAAGAAGTATAAGAGCGACTTCACTGTGGACATCAGGGGGCAATTCGGTGCAGAACACGAGCAAGAGATTCTGTGTGGTGGTCCGGAATCAGCAAGCAGATGCAGGACTATGTCAATAGATGTAAGACATGCATTCAGCATCGACGAACACCCACAGGGCCTCTGCTTCAAACTCCATTACCCGATGTCCCGTGGCAGGAGCTCGGAACAGACATTTTCGAGCGCAGTGGAAAAACATACATAGTCATCGACAACTACTCGAAGTTCATAGAGCTGGAAAAACGTTCACGAACAAACACAGAACACATAACAAAAGTGTTCAGCCAGATATTCGCGAGGCATGGATGCCCAGAAGTACTACACTCAGACAATGGTCCTCCATTTCGATCGAACGACTTTCGGCGGTTTGCGAACAAACGGGAAGTCAAATTGGTGACTTCAAGCCCTTACCACGCTCAAAGTAAAGGAGAGGCTGAGCGAGCAGTACAAACAGCCCGGAGTCTGCTGAGAAAATTACCCAATGTAGCGCAAGCTCTTCCAGCCCATATAACTCCAGGTACAGAACGTCTCTCTCCAGCGGAACTCCTCATCAGGAGGACGCTACGTTCAGCAGTGCCGACTGCTCCAAACACGCGGACGTCTTGGTGGCCCCATGCACGCAAGTATAGGCAACAGTACGGCAGACGAAAAACAAGAGAAGCCTCGCACTACAATCGACGCCACCGTACAAGAAATCGCAGTACGATACCTCCCCACTCAGAGGCGTGGATACGCGCATGCGCAGCTTCTCAAGGATAGGTACACAATTTGGGTATACCACCAAGCGGGAATGCTTCGGTCATACGGGGTGGAAACAAGTCACGGTACAGCGAGGCGCAAAAACCGTCATCTGCAGCCCGCAACGTTGGAAGTGGACAACAAGACGGTCGGGCAACAGGAGCCCGCGACTTCGGATATACACAACAAGGCAGTCGGGCAACAAAGCACCGACACCTCCACAATTGTAACAAGGAGCGGCAGGATATCACTCTCACCATACTGCTACGAAAAATAAGGCTTCGAAAGGGGCAGATGTCATATAAAGTGGCTCGCGGTCTGGGATGCGTGCGGGGAGAAAAAGAAGTGTGTGCATGAGCGAGGGATCAACCCGATGGTGTTCTAGTTCCTCTTGCCTCGGCTCTTATTTGCATACCACTCGGTCACACAACAATGATGATGTCTGATGCTAGATGATGATGATGATGATGTCCCTAATCTCTAGAGCCGCCGAAAGAACCTCGTTTTTGGCGGTACGGTCCATCGGAACCTCGTCACGATAATGTACTGGGATACAAAGCAAACACCCACCGGGAGGAAGAGTCGCTGCGTAGAGCAGGGCACGAACAGTTTCTTCCACGTTTCGAAGTCTTTCTTCGGGAACATGACCAAGCGCAGATCGTAGGTAATCCGGCTTAAGACACTCGCAGGCCACTGCATGATCTGGACGATCAGATTAACGCAAGATTACGATGTGTATAGACCAACGCGCTGTTTGCAAACAAGCCCGTGTATTCCCCACATGAGGTGGGGCTACTGCGCGTAAGCAGAACACATCTTTGTTTGAAATAAAGGGCAAACAGCGCGCAAAAAAGAAAACAACAAAACAAACAGACAACGTAGAAGTGAACACAGGGCAAGCGTTGTCTATGTGCAGTAAAGTGAAGCAAAGCGTCTGCGCAATTGACACATCAGCAGCCGCGCCACCGCAGCTACGTGACGTCAGAGCCACGTGTTGGTCTATATGCAGACCCCGGTGGAAGAAAAAAAGGAGGTCGGAACAAAACCTGAAAGGGGGCCGATACTCTACTCGGACTTCGCGTATCTCCCAGCAGGGGCGCTGTCGGGTTGGGGCTCCGCGGGCAGGCGCGTACGCGCACCGCATTGCTTTCCAATCTTGTGCGCACAAGGTTGGAAAGTCGCCTTTCGTCGCGCGCGCGACTAAAGGCGGTTTCTTAAACTCCTGTCATGCCACGTTACGTCACGGTGTTTGTCAGAAATGGGAGCGAACCATCAACACACTTGCTCCGTGGTGAGGCGGCGCCGCTCTGGGCCCGTTTGCTCGAAGCGCTAACCGCGGCTAAAGTTAGCCGCAGTACCTAGGAGAGGGATTTTGAAATCATGTGACTGGGGGGGGGGGGGGGGGGGGGGCGGCTCGGTAGGGATGCGGGGAAACATGGCGGTGCTCCGGTGAGTGAGCGCTGCTCGCTTTGGAACTAATATGTCATTGTAGCTGCAGTATCGGGTGCGTTAGTCAGCAACGAATGGTGCAGGAGGCTTTCGCTTTGCCTTACCTCACTTAAATCTCAAAGCATGAGCAGTGACCTGGTCGCATTTTTTAACGCGATAATTGTCGGCATGGCAACGTCTTTGGAAAGCGGATTGTCTTGACTCAATCGGCCGGGTAATGATAGCACAAAACCAGAAAGTGTCCCAATAGACCTTTCTCTAAATTACCCGGAGAACGCCGGAAGTGTAATTCTACGGTCCCTGCGCGCTGGCCTTCCTCTTATAAAAGATTCGAAGTAAATAATCATAAGGCTTAGACGAACGCGCGTGCAAGGCAAAACTTGTTTTAAGGGCCGCCCACACTAGCGAGAAAACGCGCCCGGCGCGCCGATAAATCGGTTAAGCGGGATGATAAAGGGCGTGTCTCTGCACGCGCTCGTGGCGCTGACTGTGCTTTGGCGACATTTTGTTACTTGCCGCGATCGGCGTGCCACGCGCGTTTTCTCGCTAGTGTGGGCGGCCCTTTAAGGGCCGCCCACACTAGCGAGAAAACGCGCCCGGCGCGCCGATAAATCGGTTAAGCGGGAAGATAAAGGGCGTGTCTCTGCACGCGCTCGTGGCGCTGACTGTGCTTCGGCGACATTTTGTTACTTGCCGCGATCGGCGTGCCACGCGCGTTTTCTCGCTAGTGTGGGCGGCCCTTTAGACTTTTTGCTCTAGAACAATTACTACTGCAGACGCCAGCACGTGCAACGAGTGTAACTACACTCGTAGCATGCACCGAGGTGCATGCTACGAGTTTTAAAGCGAGCGGCGCTCATGCACTCAATCTGGTGACTCAAATGGCAGTTTAACTTTTACCGTACTAATGGCGGCAATGAACCTGTGGTCTGTAGTATTTTATGGGACACCGTCACTTTCGCAAGTCAAGAGTCAATGACAATGTGCGTTTCGCTTAGTTCTTTTTCAATCTTTCCTTCAGTGTTGATGGCGAAGACGATGCAGCCGGTCGGAACGAAGCGCCAAGGGGCCTTGAAGCCGAGTGTGTGCTACTAACAGATTCACTGTGCCCGAGTTAGAAATGAACGCTTACGGAGCTCTTGCATCCAACTCCTGCTTCACGTCGCGTTAACGTCTAGAATATATAGCGAGCTGGACAAGCGAGCACAGGTGCAAGCGAGCTGGACAAGAATGACGAAAATAATTTTCGTCATTCTTGTCCAGCTCGCTTGCACCTTTGCATTTAATTGCATTATAATCATAACCTTAAATTGCAAGCTTCACCCTTGTTGGTGTTAGACTGGTGGCAGCTGATAAAACCCGTTTGCTCTACTGATATCTAGCCCCTGGTTAGCTCAATTGGTAGAGCGCTCCACCTGTAATGGAGAGGTCCCGAATTCGATACCCGGACCAGGCGGATTTTTTCGGTCGCTCACCAGTCACCTAGCTGTGTTTGGAGATTTCTGTTTGTCCTTTGTCACCCTTGTTCCCCTTCTCCAGGGTTTATTTTCGTGATCTAAGTGACCGGAAAAAATTCTGAAAAGGGTCTATTGCAGCATTTGTGAGTGTGAATCTGCGACTGATGTTCTTTTACAGTAAATAAATTTTAACGCTATCAAAAAAAAAAAAAATTGCATTCATTCATTGAAGATTCAACACAATCAGCTAGATATGGGAACCGAAAGAGTCACTCTGGTTTACAAGTATTAAAAAAAATTATCCGCACATTCCACTTGCTTTTTTTCCTTCTTTTTAGCACGAATATTCTGATCATATGCAAGAGACGTAGCTTTATTAATCTGGCGTTTGCTCTACAGCTCTTTATAAAAACGATAAAGTTTGAGTTTGAAAAAAAAATGTTCACTGCATTTTCCGCTTGACGCTCACTCACAAAAATGCTGAAATTTCACATTCACAGGGATCGTTTCTACGGTGAAAATTGACATGCTTAACCTAAGTACCATTTCGGTCTGGTTATTCGTTAGCCTCGCAACTACGCTAGAACGGTTTTACGAGTGATTTGGAGTGACAGGGGCACTTGTCTTTTTTTTTTTAAACCGCAGCACTGTATTGCATTACACAAAAGACATATGGATCTTGTTGCAGACATGTTTGTTTAATATATGTGTATGCTTCGAACATGTCTTTACGCAGTCTTTTGTGACCAACATGGCCGTGCCGTCATGCAAAGAAGAAACACGCCTGAGACAGTAGAGGCTTTAAGAGAACCGTCTTTGCAGATCCGATGCGGTACGACGGGTCCTCCGGTACGAACTGCGCATGCGCTACCGAAGAACACTCGCACATGCGCAGTTCGTATCGGAGAGCCCAACGTACTCTATCGGATATGTAGAAATGGTTTCATAAAGCTCTCTAGTGTCTGCAGACGGTTTTCCCTGAGATATATTAGAAGTGGACCGTGGAATGGACCTTTTCCGAGAAGCGTTCCGCGCACGCGCGAGCGCCCGATGCCAAGCGGTGGAAGTCGGCACGAAAAATCGAGGAAATTCGGAATGAGGTTGTAGATCGACGAGTAGAACACGTAATTGCAGCATATATATAATTGTGTTACACAAAAAAAGAAAGTGGACGGAAAGAAAAACACGACGTTTGGGTGAACGCTACGGATTTCCCTCTTTAACGTCGCGTTGGGCACGCGACGCTGCTCAGAGAGCGAAGCAACTGGTAGCGTAGCTCCCATTATCGATTGGTAGCGCAGGTAGGTCACTTCCTCGATTTTTAGTTCGTGCAGCCACCGCCTGGTGCCGTCGGTATTTGGAAAAGGTCCATTGCGGTGCACAAAACCACGCTGGGCGACCCTGTAGTTACCCTGTCTTGAAGGCGCTTGATGTTCTCAACATCGGCGTACAAAATCAGCCTCAATGGAACTCTCGAAAATGCGACAGCTGACTTGAGATTGGCCATGGTGAGTTCCAAGCCGTCCGCACACGTCACCACCACCATCGTCAGAGGTACCCTGCGTCGATTTTAAAATGCGTACGCGCGTGTGTTTAACAGAGTGGATTCACGAAACTGGTGCTGCTTTTCCACTTTCTGTACACGGTGATTTAAATGTATTACTTCATGGCGGTTGCGCCTACCTTTTCTGTGCGGAGCCATCGGCCTGAGGTAGAGCGGTCGGGCTCTCGTCGTGTAAGCACCTGCATCCGGTACCAGGCATCCCGTTGGACCACAGGCTTGCAAGTAGAACCAGACTCCCGACGAGGAGGAGCGCGGCAAGAAAGCGTCGAAGCCAGAATGGTTCAGCAGGCATGTCTTTTAAGTTACACAGCGGCACTCAAAATCTCACTTGCCGTCTAAGCTCGCCGTGGTTCCCACATTAACACCTAACCTTACTGAAATTCCGCATCGTACGTCAACTGAACACCAGCATCCAACTCTTGCCTTGTGGAGAAGCTGCAGAAACGAGAAGAAACATGTCCAACAATTTTAGGTCATTGCCGTTTTTTTTTTTTTTTACGATTACACGTAAAGGCCCGTTGACACAATTGCAACATTTTAAGACCGAGTGCCTTGAAACCTCTTAAATTTTTTACGACGAGAGCACGACGAGAGTAGAGTTCCTGTATAGACGCTTTACACACGCGCCAGATTGAGCCGCCATAGCCGCCCTTCTCTTGTCTTACCGAGATGCCGAGCCACTGAAGCGGGCGTTGACGGGTCTTCACAAGGGCCTATGCTGGGTACAAGAACACAGTATACATCTAAAATGGCAACAACCTGTCCTGCTGTGGTAATGATGAAGTGAAGCGAACGGAATAAGAGGGAACAAAAACTGAAGGGCAGTTATGGCGGCGCACATGCACAGCTGCTGTAAAGCGTCTATAGGCTCCCCACGGGAGCCAGGGTTGCGCGTTCATCCCCGTAGCGCTGTCTTTCCTGTACGGCATGTTGATCCTGCTCCTCACGTGACTGAATTCGGCGAATAGCGGCTCAAAAGCAGGGGTACGTACTGTCGGAGAGCGTGCGACGTCTTTTTTTCCTGCACGGCATTTGATCCGGATCCTCACGTGATCGGATCTCGGCGAATAGCGGCGCGGCGGCACGTGGAAAACAGACGCACAACTCTGGCTCCCGTAGGGAGCCTGTACAGGAACTCTAGACGAGAGTAAACACTGGCGCCATCTATCAGGTAGCAGTGGAATACTTGGCAGTTCCGTACATTTTCTATTTCTTTCACGCGTCGTCTTTTCTTTCCTTGCTCGAAAAAAACTTTCGTCAATGGTATAAACTGTTCAGTAAGCCAGATTACGCGCATTAGCGCTTGCCGAGAGTGGGAGTGGGGGGGAGGGGGGGGGGGGTGCTGCTAGAAGACGACGAAGTAAAGGGCGCTCTGGCTCGGGAAGGAATGGTTTTTAGAGCGCAGCTCTTAGGGGCCCGTTTCCAGCCTGAGCGGCGTCGGCGTCGGCGTCGATGGTTGTTCTTTCATAGTGGTACGCTTGCTGCGGAATTCTGCATTATGGCGACGAGGATCTTGTGAGTTCTGGGCTGGGCAGGGCTTTAGCGAGGACATGCTGGGAATGCTGATAGCCAAATGGGCAATTTCTTGCGTGTCCCGGCAAAACCTTCTCCAGAACTGATTCAGCAATAAGATGACGACTACATCGAACGGAATCTTCGAGTGCTCAGAAGCCATCTTGGACTAGTCATGGCCTCGGGCGGCAAGTTACCCCCAGTGTTCTTGGTCAAGCTGGGACCTCTGCCCATTCCATGGAAGCGACCCGGCGGATGGGTGCGTGTCAGAAAGCCAGGAAATGTAAAGAAGGGAGACTAAGCTTTTGGTCCGGCAATGACAATTGTGGAGCGTGTCGGCCAATGAGCCTTCAAGCTTCAGGACGGTCGCATCTGGAACGCCTCCAAGCTTACGGCGGCAACGGCTCCACCTGGCACATCAAAATGAGCGGAGCAACGCGGTTTTGTTTGTATACTGCGACCAGTGACATCAGTGAGGCTTCTGAAGTGGAACCGCTGCGAAAGCACCGAAGGAAGGACACCCCGTTCATCTACCAGGCAGCAGACCGAAGTTTCAATCGGGTGAAAACGCTGCTGTTCTCTGCACAAACGTTAAAGATGTTTGACATAGTGGATGCTACTATTCCCCCAGTGGAAGCTTCCGTTCCCCCAGTGGGTGGTACTATTCCCCAGTGGCAGTTTCCATTCCCCCAGTGGAAGAGCTTCGGCGATCGACCCAAACTCGCCGACCACCTTGGGGGGGGGGGGGGGGGGGGGGGGGGGGAGAAGTTTACATATTCCTTTAACGCTTATTATCCGGAGTGAAATTAATTGCTGGAATTCTGTGAATAACTTGCTGTACTTTTGTAAATAACTTGCTGGAATTCTGTAAATAACTTTCTGACATTCTGATAATGTTATTTGAGATATTGTGTACAAGAGTATGAGTGTTGAGTGCGAATGCTTTAAAAATAGCCTAGGCCAAGTATGTGATAATGAATGATTGACTTGAATTTCTTTTGAATTATGATTTTGTGCAACTTTGTTTTATGTGTATAATATCTATGTCTGGCTTTGTTATGAGCATCTTGTATACCCGTCTTCTCTCCAAAAGGGGAGGGGGGGGGGGGAGAAATGTTGTGTTCTGCTATTTCTCTTTCACTTCTTCTTCTTATATATGTTGTCCTGCCTCTCTCCGCTTTCAGAAACCTATCCTCTTTCTTTTCTTCTTTCCTATGTCACATAAAATCAGTTGATCTCGCGGCACCGGACGAGATGGTCGTTCTTTCATAGTGGTACGTTTGCTGCGGAATTCTGCAGTTTTGTTCTTGTCCACATGCTAACACAACATGGTGGCAGCGTAAGGACGTTCGCCCTGAGAGGACTTCAGTAAGAAGTGTGCCTAGACGACTACGAAGTGGTGGTAGCAGAAGGCGGCAGTTCTCAAGAACCTGATGTTTGGACCGCGATGGCGGCTCCTCTTTTCGCATGCCATACACCGGAAGAGTTCGACTTCTCCAAGTCAGAGTACTGGCCCAGTGGATTATAAGGTTCCAGCGCTCTCGAGTGGTGAGTGGACTCCAAGCGAAAAGCGGTTCTGAACAGGTCAGCGCCTTAGTCTACTGCATGAGAGACAAGAGCGACGATATTCTTCCCTCGCTGGAATTGACAGAGACGCAAATGCACCAGTACGACGCAGTACGAATTGCATGCGGAGAGCATTTCATTGTTCGAAGGAACGTAATTTATGACAGAGCCAAGTTCCATTCGCGGGTGCAAGAGTCATCGGGGTCAGTTAAATACTTCATAACAGCTCTTCATGGATTGCCGAAGTACTCCCGGTTCGACAACCTACTGATCAGGGACCGCATCGCAGTGGGTGTTTGAGACAGGAAGTTGTCCGAGCGGATGCAGCTCGGCGCAAAGCTGACATTAGAAAAAGCAACCACAATGGCACGTCAATCGGAGACTGTGAAGAAGCAGCAAGCTGATGTTCACGTAGAAGACAGTCTCAATCGAGCGTCCGCGGAGTCACCCCCGACGCGCAAGGTGAATGCGAGAAGGCTCCAAAGAGGCTACTAAAGAAACGTGTCCGTTGTGTGGGCGAAGTTTTTATTCACGAAATAAATGTCCCGCCAAACAAGCAATTTGCAACAAGTGCAAAAAATAGGACATTTTTAAAAGTTTGCCGCAGCTCCAGGACAGTTAGATAAGTCAAAGCCGAAAGACCACCCTTCTTGGAGTCATAGAATAAGCCGAGGAAGACGAATGGAGGATTGTACTGACAGTTCAGACAGCTCCAGTATCTTTCAAGATAGACACGGGGCCAGACATCACTGCGATTACAGCACGAATATACAGACTGTACCCCAGTGCATTGTCTCTTGTTGAGGCCAAAAAAAGTAGTAAAGGGGCCCAGCCGAGCAAAGTTGAACGTACTGGGTGTACTGAGAGCAGATATATAGCCATAGAGAAAAGCGCATATTTGCCTATGACTTTGTCCTAAAAGAGCTAGACGAACCACTTTTGTCGAGAGGCCACTCTCTGGAGCTGAGACTTGTACAGAGACTAAGTGCGATAGTCGACACGAAACCCGGGACTTTCCCGAAACCCGGAAACTCGGGAACTTTTGAAAAAGTTCCCGAGTTTCCGGAACTTTTTCAAGGCCTTGGCTGAGGAAACAACCTTACAATATTGAGTTACGCAAAGATGCAGTTCCCTTGTCTCTAAGCACTTCGCGAAGAATCCCAATTCCCTTAATATAAAAGATCAAGGAGGAGTGCTAGATTAGGGTCACCGTGGGCGCAATAGAAAGTGTGGACGAGCCAACAGACTGGTGCTCAGCAATGGTAGTCCTGACAAAGTCGAACGGAAGCTACAGAATTTGCGTTTACTTCACAGAGCTGAACAAGTATACGGAGCGAGAACGACATCCGCTTCCGGTGGCAGACCACGTACTGGGACTACTAGGGAATGCGAAGTTCTTCTCAAAAATCGAAGCAAATTTTGAATTCTGTAGTTTAAGCTTGCTCGAAAGTCCCAGATTCTTACCACCTTCAGCACACCATTTGGGCGCTTTAAGATTAAGCGACACTTCCCTTCGCTATTGCAGCTGCTTTAAAGTTCTTCCAGAATATGAGCTAGCATCTGAGCGGAATCAAAGGACAAGTCTGCAACACGGACGACATCCTCGTCTACGGATTCACGAGAGCAGAACATGACAGAAACCCGCGAGACGTCCTCTTTCGACTCAGGCAGGCAGGAATTACCCTGAACGAAACTAAATGTCAGTTCACAGAAACTCAGGTAAAGTTTCTTGGACATGTCATCGATCGAGAAGGATTTCGTTCAGATCAAGAGAAGGTAGAAGCCATCGTGAGGATGGAAGCTCCCACTTGTACAACGCAGCTGAAGAGATTTCTTGGAATGGTAATTACACTTTAAGAAAAAAAGTTGGCCTCAAGGGACTAACGGCAGCATTTGGTCCTCTGAACTCCCAGTTGCTCCCCGAAAGGACCATCTGGTTCAAGCTAGGTGCCGTGCGCAAAAGCTGGGGACTAACTGCGCTCGACTGGGACTAACCGATAGGCGTGCGCGAGCAAAAGCAGCCATTAGTCGCCCTCAGACAGGGTGCATCTGTACGATTTAGTCCCCGAAGGCAAACGGATTGTTCGCCAGGAGGACGGATGATATTTCGCTTGTCTTGGGGATCGGCGAGACTCAGCCCAGCACGGCTGAAAGTGTTGGCAAAACTCGGACGAAACTGGCGAATTTGTTTAATGTGCCACGAAACGTTCAGAC